GATTTGAATTCCATATCAGATAGTTCTAGCATGTTTTCTTCCACTGGAAAGTCATCTGGTGTTTTATTTTGTACACCTACTGGAACCATCTGTCCTGTTTTTGTAAATGTTTTGATATTGTCTGCTGTATTTGGGGCATTCAGTGATTTTTTTTCTCATTTATTGATTGTAGATTTGTTTGTTTCATCCCTTTTTTTTTTTTTAATTTGACTATGTATGAACAGGCTGACTGTGTGTTCTTTGTTGTTTGCTCGTCTCTGGGCACAGTACTTTTTGTCTCTTTCTCCAATTGGCAGGGTGAGTCACTCAGATATGGTACGGTATGGCAGGTCTAGCTGAAGAGGAGTTACTGGGACGGGTTGTTTGTGGCACTTACTACAGCCACCAGGGTGGGTCGGTAATCAGTGCAGGGTAGGTTCCAGTAGGCCATGCCTGAGCTGCTTGGTGGTGTGATGTTAAGGGCACTGTGCAGTTAGGCAGGATGTAGCCGGAAAATTGTTATGTGTGGAGCTAAGATCGATATGGGAGAGAGGAGAGAGGAACAGGAGCCAAAAACAAAGAAAAAAGAATGCTAGGGGAGCTTGCCATTGGAGTGGAGAGATGAGAGACTATCAAACAGAGAAAAACAGAAAAGGGAAGAGGAACAAAAGAAAAGAATAGAATGAATAAGTAAAAATTGGAAAGGTTAAAGAACTGCAAAGTTCCCAGGGATCCCACCGGTGCAGCTATGAGGTCGGGGGAAGTTGCTCCCAGGTGTTGCAATACAGCCTGGCTAGAAGGAGTAGAGGTATACAACGCCAGGTATTCAGGGAACAGAAAGAGAAGGAAGATATAGAGAAACGAGAAACTGAGTAACGAAAAAGACAAAAAGGGAAAAAGAGGGAAAAGAAAACAAAACAAATTAAATTAAAAAGAAAAAAACAACAATAAAAAGCCCCCAAAAAAACAAAAAAGAAAGAAAAAAAAAAACAATGAAAAAGAAATGCCCTCAGGGATCCCTCTGCGTGTCTGTGCAAGCCGAGAGGGTAGTCACCTTGCCACACAGCACGGCCTGGCCAGAAAGGGTTCCCAACTCAAGAAAAGGAAAAGAAAACAAACAAACAATTCAAAACAAACAAACAAAAGCCCCGGGATCCCACCAGTGCAGCAGCCCAGACCCGGAAGCAGCTCCACACTCAAATGGAGCTCCCCAGCCCCTCATGAAGAGGCAAAGATGGTGCACGGAGTTAGGTATTTATGCGAGAGGAGGGGGAGGTGGTGAGAGGTAAGGAAGAAATCAAAAGAAGTGGAAAATAAAGCAACACCAGCAGCCAACAAATTTCACTCAGAGAGCCAGCTAGTGCAGGCTGGTGGAATCCAAGCAGCCTGTGTTTCTCGGACAAGAGACTGTGTCCGCGAGAAGCATAGGGGGCCAAGTGTGGGTGAAGAAGGGTAGGGAGTGGGAAAGTGTATATCACAAATTACCGGAGATCTGCAGCCCCTCAGGAAGAAGAAAAGATGGCGCACAGAGCCAGGTATTTGAGGGAAAGGAGGGGGAGGTGGTGAGAGGTAAGGAAGAAATCAAAAGAAGTGGAAAAAAAAAACACCAGCAGCCAACAAATGGCACTCAGAGAGCCGGCCCATTCAGTTGTGTGGAATCCAAGCAGCCGATGTTTCCGGGACAAGAGATTGTGGCCGTGGGAAGCAGAGGAGGCCAAGTCGGGGTGAAGAAATGTGGGGGTGGGAAAGCGTATATCGAAAATTACCGGTTGTTGTGTCTCCCACTGGAAACTCTGTGATGCAGCTTTCTTGTACCCTCTGTTTGCTGGTCTCCGATAGGAGTCCAAGACGGTAGATCCATGCTGCATTAGCTGGTAGGGGACCTCTGCATGAATCTCTCCTTGCTCTCCGTTCTCTGACAGTTTTCTCACTCCATTTGGTGCTTGGCTGAGTTCTTTATCTCTTCATTTGATGTTTTGGGGTTTCAGGATTGTTTTTTTCTCTGTTCGGCTTAGTTTTTCAGATCTTTGCTGTGGAGGGACCACATGGTGCTTCTGCCTAGAGCGCCATTTTACCAGAAGTCCATAATAATAATTAGTATTTTTGAGTTAAGATTGATTATAAGATCAAAATTATATGCAGTTAGAGTGTAATCAGAGGGAGTTGAAATAACAACTAAATAATATTTAATCTAATACAACAATGTTACTATAATAGACACGTGAATTTCTCAGCAGCTAAAATAACACATTATAGAAAAATTGTCTGCTTTCTGCAGTTCCATGGTGAGCACTTATTACAAGGATGGAAAACAAACAGTAAAATTTGGTGTGTCCTCTCTTCTCACCCCATCTGGAGCAAGGGAGAATGAAGAAAACCTAAGACAGAAGGGAAAAATTAGTCTAAATGACTTATGAATCACAAGTATTACAGACTACAGACTGAGTCCAGCACGAGATGGTGCCTGGCTACCACCACCAACTACTGTGTCCTGGACAGAGCTGGAGAGAAATTCTAACTCATTAAAAAAAGAATCAAAAACACACCAGACTTACTGGTCTGACAGAGACTGGAGAAACCCTGAGAGTATGGCCCCCAGACACCCTTTTAGCTCAGTAATGAAGTCACTCCTGAGGTTCACTCTTCAGCGAAAGGTTAGACAGTCCCATAAAACAAAATGAAACTAAATGGGCACACCAGCCCAGGGGAAAGGACAAGAAGGCAGGAGGGGACAGGAAAGCTGGTAATAGGGAACCCAAGGTCAAGAAGGGGAGAGTGTTGACAAGTGGTTGGGTTGGCAACCAATATCAAAAAACAATATGTGTACTAATTGTTTAATGAAAAGCTAGTTTGTTTTGTAAACCTTCATCTAAAGTACGATTTTAAAAAAAGGCAACACGCATATTTAAAAAATAAATAACATGCAAAAACAAAACAAAATTTGATGTGTCCTTCATGCTTGTAGAAGGTGGAGAGATTTGTATCTCTCAGTTAGAGAAATAATAAGGCACTGGTTTGTCAACTTGATAACAACTTTCAAACTGAACAAACTCTGAAGAAGCAGTTTTCATAAGAGTATTCCTAGGATTTTAGGTCAATGCATATTTAGATCAAAGTAAAAAGAAAAAGTTAAGATTTAAAGTTTAACAATCTGTTCTTTTCAAAAACACTTTCTTCCTCATAAATGTAAGACTATGACTTGCTTTTAGGCACTCTAATTATTGTTTGCAATGAAATAGAGTCAATACTCTTATGAGGTGTTTGTCTTTTTTTTGTTAGCTCTGGAAATACCCCCGTAGGTCAGGAATGGGAGAGGTATGGCCTCAGAGAAACACACTCTGAGAGAGTCACACTGCATCCTCTGCAGCAGCTGAACTTGATTATGATGTCACTGTCAGACTATGAAAGATGGGACCTCAGGCATCAGTCTTGGGCAAGCTAGACGTGCCCAGGCCAGACATCTTTGTTGGGTAGTGCCCCTGGGTAAAACTTGGCATTCCCGTACCTTTTCAGGTAGCAAGAAAAAAAATGCACCTGCCTCCATTCACACCACAGTGAGACAGAATTGCACATATACTCAATAGCCTAAAATCAAGAAGAGAGGAGACACTGATTAGAAAAAGACCTATCAGCCACCGAAACTGAAGACAGAAATTGCACAGCCCTTGGGAGAATATTTGGCATCACCTGGTAACGTTGATCATGTACATATCCATGCCACAACAATTCCACTCCCAGAGAAGCTCTTCAACAGAGACTCAAGGAGATATTTGCAGGACCATTCATAAAGACGTTGTTGGTAACAGCCACAAACTGGGACAAGTCTATCACTTTTTTAATGACTGACAATCATCCTACTTTTAAGATAAGAATGTTTGCCCCAATCCTTTCTTACATTCCAAAACAAAATCTGTACAAACATATTTGGGTCTGGAGGATCATTTACGTAAGTAGAATATTATAAGTTAATCAGTTGGCAAGAGAGCTATAAACTTATGCCTGACCCTTCATATTTTAGACCTCTGAATAGCAACCCTATAGGACAGAGTAGAACTGCCCCCATAGGGTTTCCAAGGAGCGGCTGGTGGATTTGAACTGCCAACCTTTTGGTTAGCAGCCGAGCTCTTAACTCATGCACCACTAGGGCTCTGAATTTTCCCTAGGACTTATCAAATGCCCAATATGGTATGAGGTGCGGGATCTACAACAGTTTTGGACAACAAGGAGTTTTAAGAAAAGGACATCTATCATATGTAATATTTTTTACTAAAACATAATAACCGATAATGACACCTACATCAATTGTCACTGAAGTAAAGTTTATGGTTTTGCATATTTTGTTAGACTATATATCCCCAAGAAATAACAGGGAGCAAGGATTGATTAGGTTCTTAAGGAATAATGATAATGACAAGATGTTGTCAATAAAGAAATATCTGAATGAGGAAAGGGAAAAGTTGGCAGTATGAAGGTAGAGAAAAAGTAGGAAATACTCATATTCTAAATCATATAGACATAGACATAGCTCTATGTTAGGGAGATTGGGTTCCACCATGACTTCTGCCTGTTCTTATGCCAGCATAGTCCCAGGTAAGTCTCCTTGCTAACTCCCATTACTATTACACTTCTTGTCGTCCAAGCGTTTGTAAACGCCAGTCACATCAATAATTCTCCATTTAAATTCAGTACAGTTTTAGTCCAGAATGCATGTACTTAAATATATTTAGCCATTGCATGCTAAACACCTGTTTTGATTTGCTTAACTAATGTAGATGTTTATGATGTGTGTGGATTGAAGTCTAAGTGTGAAAGTATTCTTGAACTGATAAATTGGGTTACAGCTCTCAGGATGAAGGAATTTTTTTCTTTCAGTAAGTATTCTAGAATAGCTTCGATGATGGATGTGAAGTGCTTATTCTTAGAAGAACACCAGGCAGATGATGCAAAGCTACATACATGCTAAAGAATTTTGCAAAGTCTGAGAATCTCTATGACCAGGTATTCCTTGAATTACTACTTACATTGTGCTTTGTGAGGTTTGAAATATTCGTTGCTATTGCTTGTAGCCAGTCAATACAGTCTTCAGCAGAGAGGCACTGAATAATTCCACTGCACACCCCGTCCACAGCAGTGACTTGGAAAGCATTCTGCCTGCAGATATGTCAGAGCAAATTAGATCAGAACTTCATTTGTTTATTTGCAGTTCTTAATAGTGTCTGTCAAAAACCTCTCTTTTCAAACAATGTGAGTACCAGCCTCCAATCCATACTTGATAACTTCTCTTTACAAGTATCTTTTTTTAATGGAACAGTAAAGATAAATACAGTCAATATATAATTTCAAATTGATAAGAAGCATCCTGAGATTCAGGTAAATATGGTGACACTTTGGGGTGTAAAAAGTAAAATATGTAAATGAAGGAGTATCTAAGCAATTTTAGAAACATTCATTTCTGAGTTTACCATAAAATTATACATAGAAATTTATTACTTTGGCTACCATCATCTCCTTTTGATATTTGTCAATGCATTTTTCTGACATAGCATGGAAGGTAGCTAAAAAAACCAAAGAAACAAATAACAAACACCTTTAAAAAAACCACTTAACTGTCATGAGCTGCTGTATTTTGTCAGTTGATAAACAACTTTAAGCCTCATTTTACTCATTTTCTCAAAGATAGTTTGTGACACGATGTTCATATCACACTTGCTGGTCTAAATTTTTATGTTCTAAATTAATGTGACTATTATAAATTTCAGTCACAACCAAACTTTCTCTTAAAATACAATGAAAAGTCTAAATATCCCTTATACCTTATTTTTACACAAATAGTGTATGTGTTGTAAGTTTTTTGCAAACCTGAAACTCCCTAGTCCGTTATTTTCCTAAGTGCATTATGTGCATTATATGTGTGTGGGCATTATTTACATGGGCACATTACTTGCAAAAATATGTTAGTCTTCTATGTATTTGGGTTTTTTTAGAGAAAATTAAATGACACCATTCTAAATTGTTTACAGCAGTACTATAGTATTTAAAGTTAACAGCTTTAATGATTTTTTTCTGCATCAAGTTATCACAATGTTTAGACACAAGCTTACTGGACAGCACTAAATAAAATTCCAAAATGAATGAAAGTTAAACAAATGTTTCATGCTTGAGAATCACTATTGTGCAACAATAGCATTTAAAAAATGCACAAAGTATATTCAAATTTCAGTCAATTATAAAGCAACAGAAAACTTCTGCAGTTCAATATTCAAAATGTTATTAAGTTGTATAAATTTATATATTTTCGTCCAAATAAACTAACTTTTCTGGCTTGTTTGTAGCTTGTATTTGTGGATATTAGACATGATTTCATTATCTGCAACAACCATCCAATAAGCCCACAGAACATACCTCTGACTCTAAGTCATTAACTGTTCTGCCACTCTCCCTGCCTTTATGATTAGCACACATATCATAGCTGGGCACATGGTAAACATTTGGAATAAGGCACTCCAAGTTAATCTAAGTTAATATTTTTAGAGAATTGACTTTCATGTCCTTGACACATATTTTCTACGGTTAACAGTTTTACCTTTGCCAGAGTGTCATACAGTTGGAATCATACATATACTTTATTGTGTTCAAAAAACCCATTGCCGTTGAGTCGGTTCTGACTCATAGCAACCTTATAGGACAGGGTAGAACTGCCCCATAGGGTTTCTGAGGAGTGGCTAGTGGATTCAAACTTCTAACCCTTTGGTGAGTAGCCGAGTTCTTAACTACTGCACCACCAGGGCTCTGGTTTTATTGTGTTCAGATATACTTTATTGTTTCACTTAAAAATACATTAGAGGCCTCTGAGAGGAAAAAAGTGTTGTCTATCTCTTTGAAATATAGTTCTTTTGAATTTGGGACAAAAATTATTCATAGTCAGAAAAGCATATTATAAATTTACATGACTTTCTTAGCTTCAGATCTGATATTCAACAGCATGTAAGACATTTAAAATATTCAGGCAGAAGTTCAACAATCCATGGAAAATGAGAACTAATTTAAGTGTAGCAATATACATTTCTTTCTGCTCTCTCATTATCATAGCTATTGCTTCATGTACCATGAATTAAAGCATGCCTTGAACATATTTTTGCCGTCTTCATTAAAGGAACACTGGCAGCTTGATATTTTGAGCTGATTAAAGTGAATACACTTAGATTAACTCTGCAATCTATGTAATATATATATGCCATAGAGAGAATACATTTTTTTGAATGACTAGTTCATGGGTGGTGCAAACGGTTAACACACTCAGCTGCTAACCGAAAGGTTGGAGTTTACAGTTCACCGAGAGGCACCTTGGAAGAAACGCCTGGCAATCTATCTAGTTAGAAAAAAATCAGCCATTGAAAACTCAGTGGAGCACAGTTTTACTCTGACACAAGAGGGAGGTCTCTATGAGTCAGAATCAACTCCACAACTATTTATTTTAATTCTTTTTAACCTAGGCTTATAGGTTAATGTACACCATGTTTTGCATTCTTTGTTTCAACTTTTTAAATATGTATGTCTTTCATGAACATAAGTACTTAAACAGTTTCTTTGGTTATGTATGACCTCTTTCAAGATAGGCCAATCATAAAGACTACAGTTTGAGTTATATTTCAGTCTCTACTACTCATTAAAGGAGAATATTAGAAAACGATCCCACTGAGTTAATCCTCAGTTTCCCCTAGAGGAAAATGAGATAAATACACATATTTTTCATTGAGCTGATTTAACAAGCATTTACTGAGTAATTGGTGAGATCCAAACAGTTTCACATATCACTGAAGTATATAATAATTTCCAAATAATCCATTAATATGTGTTCCTAACATCGATATTTTAGATTGGTTGGTGAGAATATTTCCACATGGACTTGTTTCACTGAGTACCTATGAAGAGCTGCAGAGCTTTTGTTTTTATTTTTAGCTTTTAAAAAATGTTATTTTTTGACTGGCAATAAACAATAATAATGAATCATCTTCATTTTGTCTTATTTTATAGAATTATTTCTGCACTCAATAGACTCCATTATCCATTTATTTAGTATTGTGAGGCATTAAACTTTAACAAAGTTTATAATACTCTCAAGGATATCTAGATGGAATATCTGTACAGAGAAAGAACAAAAGAATGAAAGGAGCCATGAAAAGATGTGGAGAAATCTTAAATACATATTGCTAAGCAAAAGAAGCCAGTTGAAAGTGCTGTATACTGTATGATTCCAACTACATGACATTCTGGAAAAGACAAAACTACAGAGACAGCAAAAGATCAGTGGCTTTGAGGGGCTCAAGGCAAGGGGGGAGAGATGAATAGGTGGAGGACAGGCCATTTTTAAGACAGTGAAATTATTTTGTATTGTACTGCGATGGTGGGTACATGATATTATGCATTTGTCAAAACCCATAGGATGGTAAAATACAAATTGCAAACCCCTAATGTAGACTATGGACTTTAGTTAATAATAATGTATCACCATTGGTTCATCATTGCAACAAATATACCATAAGAATGCAAGACTTTAATAATAAGAGAAAATGTGCAGGGAGGGAAGGACCTCTCTGTACTCTCTGCATAATTTTTCAGTAAACCAAAAACTGCTCTAAAATACAAAAAGTCCTTATTTTAAAAAAATCATTCTTCAAAAAAACAAAATCAAACTCTAATTTCAGAAGGTTAACTCAGATGGCACCTATTCCATAACAGATATTTGGAAGAAATCTCTCCCACTTCAGTTCTCCCAAACTTTCTAGTTCCTTTATGACAGTACTTGCTGCGTCTGGTTTTTGTACCTGCTACACACCGTTCTTTCTTACTAGGTAGCAAGATCCTTTGAGGAGAGGCTGTGTGTGCTACTTTGCACTTCTTGCAGCTCTAAGGTCAAAGCCCTTAATCTTTAAGGACAAAAATCCATCTCCACTTTGCCCTAGAAATCCACTGCTTTTGCTAACCTGAGATCTGATTGTCATTCAAGGAAACCTCACTGTCCGACTCTAATTCTGAAATTTCTGCTTTTTGACTATAAACCCTCCCTTTCCAGCACCACCCAATAAACTTATTCTTTCTCATCTTTTTAACCCCTTCCTGTCATCCTAGTCTATAAATATATTTAGGGTATATCTACATTCTTCCCTAGATTTGACTCCCTGTTTATCCATATCAATAATATGTTTGTTGCCATCCTTGAATTTCCTGTCACCTTGACTTACAACTGTTCTAATTTGCTAATTCTCAGCCCTGAATGACTTCAATTTAATTAAGTTTATAGACTTTTCTTTCGAATGTGCCAAGATTTCCTGGCAAAGTAAGCATTTGTAAAGAAGTCCGAAAACAATTGGCCTCTGGGAGTTCAGGGTCCTCGGTTCCTCATATCTATTTCACTATGTTCCTAACCTCAGAGGGGTCATCATTGCATATTGCAGATCCCTATCCTGCAAAGCAACCATTTTTTCTTCTCTTGTTGACTGGGTAACCCTCTGTCTCATAGCAGCTCATACATAAGGAATTGGTCCCTCTGAAACTCCTGAATTCTTCCTATCTCTGAATGAAATTTAATTCAGGTCATATATTGATACCTGAATTAGGGACATTACCATATGATAAATATATGTTATCACTGATTAAAAAAAAAACACTGTGAAGTTTAAATTCACGTATATACAATAGAATATATCAATAACACAGCTCTGTTACAATTAAGAATGAGAAGTATTACTGAATTGAAAACCACAGGCCTTGGGCAAAAACAATAAATAAACAAATGAAACACTAAATTTTCAGTCTAGCTAAATAATTTTCTATATTTTCACCCTGGGTCAGTTATTTATCCTTCCCAAACTTCAGGTTCGTTGTTTGTAAGATAGAGCTACTAATATAATCCACTATAATTCTTAGCCAATGTGTAACATGTATAGAACAAGATATGATCCATAGAAAATTTTCAATGAAAGTAGCTATTACTAGTACTAGTAATAATAATAAAAAAAAATAGTCAATTCTGAATTATCGTGACACATGGGATTGCTATGGGTTGGAATCGGCTGGGCAACAACTGTTTCTTTGCCCTCCATAGAGTTTTCAATGGCTGTGATATTTTAGAAGTAAATTCCCGGGACTTC